TGGATGTCCTGTATAATATGATGAGTGGTATTATAATTTTTAAGTGCTATTATTGTCTGACCATAATGTAGTTTGCCTTGCGATTTGTTGTTTTATGGCCTGAGTCATGGCTTCCTTTAATGTTATTGCTTCAGCCTGGAATATAGTGTTGTTGGAGTTATGTTTCAATTGCGTGGTTGATGTGATTATGCCATCTTCATATTGTACAATTGCAGCACCCGTACCATCACTCTTCTTGGATCCATCTGCAAATATATTTATTTTTCTTGTTAATCGGACTTGATTAATGAATATAAAATTTGTATAGTTGAAATCATCCGAGATTATCATGAAATTTTGGTCCTTGAAAGTCAAATTTCTCTTGGTGGTTAACCATCATAGTGTAGATGATTAACCATCATAGTATTAAAGTAAAGCAATTTCCATCATAGAATGATGGAAGTTTGTTGGCATATCAAAGACCATGAACGCATAATGAAAAATGTTGGATGATGGTGACCATCAATTGATGTTGGACCATCATGAAACGCACTGAAACCAGCAAAAACCTTCAAAATGTTTTGATGGGACGATCAAGAATTTTGACTTGTAAATGAACAGAAGGTCAGACTCCTGAATTGTTACTAATGTTCATCTCTAAACATTTGGCGAAAGAAACAGGTTTCAAATTAGAGTTTTAGCAACCCTATATAGTTATTGAAACCCTTAAAGAATATACCACCACGCGAAGTCAATATTAGCAACCTCGAGTAGTTAATATTGTAATAGAAGAAAAAACTTTCCATTATTCGAAGTTTGGTAAAAATTCTACAGCATAATAAACATCTCTATTACTTCTATTCAAACTTAAAAAAACAATTGAGTCTCGCAGTGGACTGATCGTTAAGAAACCGTTCCCAGCAGATCGCCGAAGTCAAACATCATTGGCTGCCGTCAGTGTGCGGGTGGGTAACCACTTGGATTAGTTTGTGTAGGGACGGTATTTTTCCTCGTTAAACTGTTCTATCGTAAAGTGCTCAAATTAACGTTCAGGTCGTCGGGCTACTGAAGCAGGGGTGCCATCCCCTCTGCAAAGGATCTAAATTGGGATTTCATGCCTTCAGACTATCCTCACGGATGTTTCCCAGACAGTCGCCAATAGCCCATTATGCAACTCCAGTGCGACGTAAATAAACTACAACAACAAAAATAAAAAACAATTAAGACAGCTTGTGTTTGTATCCCTAAAGAAAACGGTTGTAGTGTAAGAATTCTTGGTGGCTGTCAGGAATATACCATCAAAACATTTTTTTAATGTTTTTCCATCTTTAATCAGTCCGATTTTTTACATAGGGGAGATGGTTTTTCATAATCGTTCTAACATTTGATTTCTTAGAAACTATGAAGGAAATTTCCAACGATTTAACATGAACTTATCATCAAAATAAGTTGCTATTCTTATATTGGACCTTCATAAATCAGTCAGAGTTCCTACATTGGGGGTATGGTAACTTATGTTGGTTACTATCAAAAAATATAATCGTTTACGATGAAATTATTGATGGTTACAGTCAAGAATGTTTGTTGTCTAAGAATGTATGTTGGTCCATCAATAGAAAACCATCAAAAGTTTTAACTTGGGATTATAAGTTTATAAAAGAAGTTATACGTAGCATGAAATGCATTCTATATTGTAAAGTTTGTAGTTATCTTGATATCCAAAATATTCTGCTAAATTAACCAAGTCAAAATTTTTGTTGGTTTTCCATTGATGGACCAACATAATCTTGATGGTAACCATCAATAATTTCACCATAAAAACATTGTAATTTTGATGGTAACCAAAATAAATAACCATCACCCCAAAGTAGGAATTCGAATGATTTATTATGGTTCAACATAAGAATAGCAACTTGTTTTGATGGCTTTTTCATGTTAAACCATCAGAAATTTCCACCATAGTTTTTTTAGAAATCAAGCATAAACAACCATCCTAATGTAGGAATTCGAACCTATTTATGATTTTACAACATAAAAAAAAATACTAAAATGTTTTGATGGTATAGTTCTGAGAACCATCATGGAAATGTATAGTTGGAACCATCATTGATTGTTGGTCCCTGAGAATCTTGATGATTTACCGATAAAGTATTAAAGCAGCAATTTCCATCATGGAATAAATGAAACTTGTTGGCATATAGAAAACCATGAACGCATAATGGAAAATGCTGGATGATGAAGACCATCAAAGGATGTTGGACCATCAAAGGATGTTGGACCATCATTAATCTCATTGAGACCAACAAAAACCATCAGAATGTCACCGTCAAAATGTTTTGATATGACCATCAAAAATTTTGACTTTGGTAGACTGACTTCGGTAGACTTTTTAACTTTCAGCTTTTTGCCCAGTTATTCCCGAATTTTTTGTACGTTCAAAAGATCACCGTTTTCTACTCAAGTCAACAAGGATTTTAAAATAATCTATTCAAATCGAAGAATAGGGAAAAATAGATTTTCATGCCAGAGTCTTTTTATTTTAATTAATGAAAATTTGATACACCATCTAACTTTAATGGTGATCATTTTAAGTTGATGTACTTATTTATTATTTTCAGTCAATCCAGCAACAAATCATGAAGGTTGAATTTGGTAGTTTCACAACTATCGTTTCTTATAATGATTGGTTACAATCAATACAGTAATCATAGAGACACGATGTCTCAGGGTATAAAGCGTTCGCCTTCCACTGAGGTGAACCAGGTTTGAATCCCAGCGAGGCCAGGTTGATGCGAATTCCGCATACGACTTTCACCGATCACAGTGCTGACGTAAAATATCCTCAGTGTTAGACGAATCATGGGTTTGAGTCTCTTGGCCATCGGGATAACTATGGGAGGTTTTCATGTTTTTCTCTCCATGTAACGCAAATGCGGGTTAGTTCCACCAAAAAGNCCAAAGCAAATTTCTCCCAATCCAGGAGTTCCCTTGTCTTCTGGATTGGGTTCAAAATCACAAGGCTACGGAGTTCAACTTTAGTAGCAGGAAAAAGAATGGGTCGGCTGTTCAACGATCGTTTTAAAATAAAGTAAAATACAGCAATCATGTCATGGCATTTTTGAATGGCAAATTGGGGGATCATTTCGCAATTTTAAATTTTTTTTTTCGTTTCTTTTTTTTCTTTAATATATTGTAATTCTACTTTAATGTTATGTGACTGAGAAATTCTTAAACTGTATTAAAACTCTTAATCAAAATCAATTACTGTTACGAAAGAATATTGACTAACTGGTTCTGTTTATCCTCTTTATGATAAATTTCTATAAAAAGTTACTATACATTGATATTAATCTATTAGGAATTGTTTAATGTTCCATTAATTAAATTGTGCTAAAAATCTTAAAGACTTTATGTTCTAAATAGTAAAATAACTAGGAAATCAAAAATAGAATATTATAGTATACTATAAGGATCACAATTTCTAGATTGCAGCTACCTGCCCTCCCCCAGATTTTAAGCGTGAAAAATCCATATATCTAAAAGAAAAGTCCATGTTTATTCCGAGAAAGTACGTTTTTGTATTTGATTTCGTGGATTAATTAGTAGTTAACACTAATTAGCATATTTGTTATCACCCATTAAGATTGGAACTAGTAATGGGTGACTTCATCCGATGGAACCATTAAGATTGACACTTTTTTGTGAAAATCAAATCATCCGAACAAAAATTATTAAGGGTGATATCTTTTTTCACTGAACTGTTTAAATTTTTCATATGTTATTGTGGACAAAACTCTATTTATTGTAATGTATTAATACATAATTTTAGTAACTAGTTAGAAAGAAAAATATTTTCTGAAAATACAGAAATTCTCTAGTGACAGGAGGATATGTTTGTAATGTACAAAAAAGACATGATAGTTCTCTTGTTTTAATTCTTAGTACCAGTTTAGTAGTAAAAAAAATTATAACTTATGATCAGTGGTTAGAAGTAGCTAAACTATTGTATATTACTGTAGTTTGTAGCGATTCCTGCCAACTATTTTTAATGTTAGGTAAATTAAGAATTTCTTACGGGTATTTGAAAGGCTACCTATTTGATAGGCAAGACCATGATAGTTCCCAATTTGTTTTCATTGTTTTAAAAAATGAATACTTGCGGGCAGCAAGCACCTGAGACCTCGAAAATCTTTCGGTACGTCTTCTCAACTCTCAGATATTTTGATAACAAAAGCCCAAAAATATTCCAATATTTACTATTTCAAAAGTCATTACTTACCAGATTTCTTAGTGTAAAGAATTATATCGTGTGGGAAAAAATTATCTCTTTTGATGAATTGATTTGGTATCAAAATCAATTAAGTGAGAGATTGTATTTAACCACTTAATTGTTGCATCATTTTGAAGAAAACAGTCATAAAAGTGCCCATTTTTGTTACATTTTTTAGCGCAGCCGTAGTGTTGAAAAAATTTCCGTTCGTAATTTATTGTCAGTCTCCCAAACCTCACAAAGTTTTAAACTTCATTTATATGTAGGAGAAATCGCACGATCTAATCACACTTATAAATTTGTAAACTGATTTTTTTAAATATTTTTTGAGAAACATCAAAAAGTTTGTTAGTATCGAAGTGTTTCCATTATTTTGTCCGACCCCTGTACTTAATCTAATTTATTAATACAAAATACTTGCTACTGTTAAAAAAGAAATATATTTTCTGAAAATATAGAAATTCTCTAATGACTGGGGGATATGTTTATAATGTAGAAAAAAAATGTGGTGGCTTTCCTGTGTCAATGAGGCAGTACCCGTTCAGTTGTAAAATAATAATAATAACTTTTGAAAATTCGCAATTTAATAAATTATTTCAATCAACATAATTCAAAAAACAAAAATGACATTTTTACGCACAATTCGTATATGAACGGCAAAACCATAATAGTTCCCAGTTTATTTTTAATATTAAATTTAAACAAAAATTTGTCAATACTTAATTATTAAAATATTTTGCAATGAAAAATAATAGTAGGAATAAAGTAGATGTTTTTTAAAGTAATCTGATTAATATTGAAACAAAGTGTTTGCACATTTCTAGGTTTTAGAAAAAGTCCGATGAGATCTTATTATTTGTATGGTTGTGTGGCAATAGCCTTGGCAGTGGTCTACTCAGTGCCAAAAGCTCCTTGATTCCGGATAGCAGGCATCTGTGACTTCAGAAATCTTTCGGTAAGTCTTAACTCTCAGATATTTTGATAAAAAAGCTCAAAAACTTTGTAATATTCAGCATTTTAAAACTCCGAAGTTCCCATAATTGTCAGTCTAAAAAATTATATTAAGTTACATTGAAAAATTATTTTTTAGATGAACTGATTCCATATTAAAGCTAATTAAGTGAAATATTACATTTAAGATCAGTGGTCGGAAAAAACATTGTTTTTATAGTTTATTACAACTACTTTGTTACGAATGTAGTTAACAGCAACTACTTTTTTAAAATGGAGTGGCTATTGAAATTGTAGTAACTATTTCACTACTTTTAGGAGACAAACTTTGATGAAAAACTTAATTTGCAACTATATTCAAAATGGTTTTGAATAACAAATTGGCCTACATGAAATGTAAGGGAATAATTGAGAGAGATTTATGTTTACAAGAGTGAGTTTGTTTTTCCAAAAAAATGTTTACGAATTTGTTCATTTAACCTTCAAATGCTTACACATATTTCGACAGCGAAAATTTAATTTAAGAAATGCGAAATTATCAAATAATCGCATCTTTTCAATTGCTAAATGCTCTTTTATTTTCTCTTATAAATTAAGTACATAAAAAATGCATTCCGTTTCTTTAAAATTGAAACAACATCAATGTTTCACAAGTGTGCATTTGTATGTGTAAGTACCAAGTGTGCATTTGTATTTGTATGTACCAAAGTGATTAATTGTCTATTTTAATTCCTAGTTATACGTAATTTTAAATACGTAATATCTATTAAAGCTCAGCTGCAGCCACAGAGTCATTTTCATTGCATTCATTGACGATCCCGCGAAGATTCGCACCAATCAAATTCGAAAAATTAAATCCCTTAGAGCTTTACTTCTTTTCTCAACTACCGATAAAAGTAGTTGCTAAGAATTGCTACAAATTGCTGTCTTTTTTTTTTGTATCTCCCTAAACTAGTTTTTTTTAAAGAAAGTAGTTCGCTACACTACAAACTACAAAAAAAGTAGCGACTACAGTAGTTTCACTACTTGTAGTGCGCAAGTTCTAACCACTGTTTAAGACGATTCTTTTGTCTAAAACGTATATGTATTCTTTTGTTAATATTTTTAAATTGTGTGAATAGCTTATTATTATTATAGGCATTTTTTACACCAAAGACCACATAAATATTTTTTTAAATGAGCAATTAATATAAATATTTGAACATGTAATGGAACATGTAATGGACTGATGCACGTTAAATCTGTCGAGTCGCAAAGTCCTCCCTGTTCCCGTAACAAATCACACTTTTGGGGATACTGATCCAGGAGTCTCCTTGTCTTCTGTATTGGTTCGAAATCGGTTACAGAGTAGAACATTAGTAGTCGTACACCTAAAATTGGCTGGTCAGCTATTCAACGACGGTTATAAAATAAAATAAAATCGCTTAGAAGAAAGGACATTAGAATACGGAGAGAGAAAAAGTTACATACATTTCTACCTTGATATTCGAACCCACAACCACTGGTCCCTTAGTCCAGTACAGTAACCACTTGACCAGTGATCGGCAATTTGGAGTATTATTAATAAAAAAATTTTTTTCTAACATAAAAATGTGGAGTTTTGATACTCTATAAAATGCTCTTCATGTAAGTGTTGAACTTGGAGTACTAGCAGATGTTACTGTATGATTTACCAAAATTTTAAAGACTCCATGTGCAGGTTTACATAGGCATTTACTGTTAGTGTCTAAATAATATTTTCTTTAAGAAATAAACGTACACATTTTTTATTTTCCTTAAGAACACTTTGTATCGACAATATGAAGTGAAAAAAAATATATGAAATTAAAAACTATCATGTTTTATTTAAGATTTGCAATATTTATTGTATTATTTGCTAATTTAAACATAATTTTAGCTTCTAATCTGTTTGTATCAAAAATTAGTAAAGGAGCGAAGAGTTAGTGCGGAGATGAGGGGACATCTTAAATAACTTTTTTTTTAGTTATAGGTCAAATTTATTCAGCGAGATATTTTAGATTGGCAATAAAGAAAACGGACCATTCTGAATAACTTTTAATTTAATGATCGGATCTTAACGTTCTAGGACCCAATCTTAATGGTTCGAGAGGATGACCTCAAATGTGCTAATTAATTAGTGCAGCCGATTTTGAGTTACGAAATCAGACAGAAAAACGTATTCTCTTAATATACATACCTCTTTTTTTTAAATTCGGATTTGGATTTCTGTCTCCTAAAATATATGTGGTGGCAACAACCTGAGAAATAATTTGATCAAGAGAAAGGTACGATTTGGACCCCTTAATGTTAATTTTACTTTTTTGCGCCTTTCGCCGCATTTCATTTACAGTTACAGCTCGTGTACAGTTCTATCCATTAAGAAAATAACGTTTTGTTAATATTTATCATTTTGTATTAATTTATTTAACATAAGTTTGAAACGTTTTGAGTTGTTAAGTATATAATTTTTTACACCACTTCAAAGTATGTAATTTTGCTTGGCAAAATATATATTTTGAGCAAAATTGGTCGAATAGTTATTGAAAAATCGAATTTTAAAAATATGACCTTTTTAAAATTCGATTTCTCAGTAATCATTAGATGATTGTCAGCATACTCCTCAAATTAAGTCTTAATTAACTTATCCTCTTAAAATCTGAAACACCATAAACCATTCAGCCAACAACACTGTCTGCCGTCAAATTTGAGTTTACCGTAAGAAATCGTTATACCACCGAAAAAAATCCACGAAACCTACCTTCCAAATAATATTCAGTGAAATATATTTTTTGTTTAACTGAGAAATAGACAAATGCAAAATAGAATTTTGCCTTAACACGTAACCCGCTATAGGAACTCGTTTAAAATATGAAGCAATGCGTGTGCGACTACTGTTTAAGTTATCTTCTGCATAACTAAGAAATTCTACTGTTATTTTTAAAATTCCTGCATGTTCTTCAAAATAATGCACCTTTTGTTGACCACATATCTATCATGCACCCTTAAGGGATCTCAAGGATTTTTCGTTCCAAAAGTTTCGATTTTTTGAGAAAAAAAAATACGTGTTATAACTTGTTTTATCCTGAGCAATTTAATCCAAGTATAAAAGAAAAATCTTACAGCAAAACTACTGTAACCCATTTAAATCTAAAGAAAATTAATTTATAAAAAATCGATGTATCTCTAAAATATTTGCACTTAAATCATTTTTGTACTTTTGTTAAACTATCATGAAAAATTCAGAATTCTAAGATAAATTATTCTTAAAAATAGCATACCACCAGGAATAACTTTTGATCTAATAATCAAATCTTCACTTTCTAAAACTAAATCTTAATGGTTCAAGGGAGTTACCTCAAATACGGTATTAAATCAGTGCAGAATATACCTTAAGTTACGAAATCAGATCCCAAAATATACTTTTACTGAAAAAATATGCCCCTTTTTTCGACGGATTTGTATTCTGTATCTGGGATATATGGTTTATATAATTTGCTCAGAGAGCCCTCAAAATTTTGAGCCCCTTAATATTAATTTTACTTGTTGATTTGTACGCTATATCTCGAACTATTTTAACGAATTTTACTACATCAAACAGAAATAGCTTGCTAAGTTTTTAATATGTTACTTGTTTTCAAAATTTTACGAAACGTTTTATTATCATTTATAATCTTAATTTTTTTAATTATCTGAACCCAGGTTCTCCTGAGTTGTACGAAAAAGATAGTGATAGTAGAATAATGAAAATTTTGACAAATTTTTACATGAAAGGAGAAATTTGAACTATCACGAAATATTAACAATTCAATTAAAAAATAATTAGTTCTAAAACTGAAAACAGTTTTATTTTAAATTTTAAGAAAAATTTAAAATGGGACAGTTCATATCTTGCGTAAACATGTTTCCCGCAGTTTTGTTCCCGCAAATATGGCAACATCGAGAAACAAAATGGAGCAATGAAGACATTTCTTTACATGGCATATAATTTTGAGAAGAAAAGAAATATTCAAGAAATCGACTGATTTATAAGTACATAGCATGGTAACCAGGTTGAGATATTCCATATACATTAAAGCATAATAATATTTATAACTTTAACATAAAATTACTTTTATAAACTTTTTTGTGATGAGAAAAATTTGAACAACTTTATTTAATAATTGTATTTTTCGTTCTTACTGCACTCTTGTGAAGCAAAACGATATTTTCGAATTTTATTATTACCATACCTGCCAATTGTCCTGTTCCTTAACGAAGACTCTTGTATTTTACGACTATCTCCTGTTAACCCATACATTTTAAAATTTCGCTGTATTTTTTGAAGAAAGTTATTTTAAAAAAATTTTCCCAATATAATGCCCGCTGATGGCAAAAATACTTCTCTTATTCCTCAACAGATAGTGATATTGCTAGCACTTCAGTATGTTCAGTGTTAATAGTTTAAGTACTCCTTGCAGTCAGGCTAACTGTGAGACGTTTTCGTGGTTTTCTCTTTATGTAATGTAAATGTGGGTTAGTTCCTTCAAAAAGTCCTCCAAGGAGGCAAATTTCTCCCAGTACTTGATCAATCCAGGAGTTCCCTTGTCTTTTGGATTGGGTTCAAAATGACAAGGTGACAGAGTTGAACATTAGTAGCCGTAAACCCAAAATAGGGTTGTCTGTTTAACAACGTTTATAAAATAGTTTATAAAATAATTTATAAATAATGGTATAAAAAAATCTTCTTTAGATTAAGATTTATATACATATCATTTTGCTACATGTAAGTGCTTATATTATTTCTAATTTTGAATTTCTCTTTTTGACTTACATGATTATGCATGATGTATCAAAACTTTACTCGTAGCCTAATAAATGTCGCTAGTAAAATCTCTGTTATTTTACTTCTTCAATGTTGGCGGGTATGTATTACATTCATGTGATTGATCATTGTTTTGAATGTACATACATTTATTTTGCAGCTGCTGTGAATTCTTTGGCTAAGTTTGGCGCTCACTGTGAAGAGCTTCTCCCAAATATTTTAGTCCTTCTGCAGAGGAGCTTCCAGGATTGTGATGATGAAGTGAGAGCAACCTACTATTTAAATATCCTAAATCAGAAACAAAAAGGACTCCCAATTCATCTTGAATGGTACATCTGTTTTGCTTATTAAATTTATAAATAAAGCTTTGAAATTTTTATTTACAATAATTTAGTGAAAGTAGGTATGAAGTAATGTTTTGAAAAAGCTTAATTTTATAGGCTAAAATCAACTATGCCAGAGATGGTTTCTAAATAGAAAATATGTACACGTACAGTTTTCTAATTATCCAGGGTTGTCACTCCACAGGGGAAATCACCTGAAATAACGGGGAATTTTGATTATTTTTTCTTTACAATTTTGGAAAATGCAGGGAAATTAGTTTCTTTCTGAAAAAATGGTGACCACTCAATGCATAATGGTGACCACTCAATGCAATCTATGGGATAGGATGATATTCCAACTATACTAAACTATTTCATTTACTATAGCATTATTTAAATATATTCAGCTGTTCCTTTTTTTCCTCCAAGATTTTCCAGCAATTAAAACTAGCATAGTTACCCTAATGAAGCACAAGAGCACAGTAATTGTGTTTCCTTTTAATATAATCTGTATAATGCATGGTGCGTAGCGTTTTTAAAAAGTTCTTAAAAGTGCTTATTTATGATTTTCTTTTTTTAAAGCAATTAAAACTGCTATTTTCATGAGGTAATTTTAAAAAGTACTTAATTTTCCCTTTTAGAAGATTTTTTCTTTCTTTACCATGTTGAATGTTTTCACAATTCATTTCGGCGTGCTGTTTGTCCGTAGCGTATGATAGCATCAATCATGGTGACATATGAAGTACTTGAGGTGTCTGCATGTGCGTCTACTGAGTTGGATTAGTTGAGATTCTTGCTACTCTGCTGCATTTTCTCAAGATGTTCTCAATTTCTAGCTTTTTTCTACCCTCTGATATCGAGCCGAAAAATCTTTTGATCATTTTAAAATGGCTAATATAATCAAGAAAAGAGTTCTTTGTCAGAAATTGGCTATTTTATCGGATCATGTAAATTCTTTGAAAATTATTTTGCATTTTGTTAATGTGTTTAGTGATTAAAAATACTTTTTGAGTGCTTAAAAAGTACTTCAAAGATGCTTATTTTTTGTTGGGATATTCGGCTACGCTCCCTGCAATATGTACAGGGAAATTTTTTCCCAGATTTGAGTGGCAACCCAGGTAAAATTTTGAAATTTATATTAGCAATAGAAAGAAGATTTGAAGAAAGAAAATTTTAATATACAGAGAAATATAGAGAGAAAGAAGATTTGAATATACAGGGTTATATTTTGAAAAAGTGTAATTTTTCAGTGTAAAGATGGTTTCTAGAAATGATTTCCAATGTGATCCTACTTATGATATATTGTTCTAAGCTGATGTTACTAAATTCACGCAAATGCTGCTTGTCTTTTTGTTCACTTATACATAAAGTACACATCCGTACAATTTCTATTAAAATAAAATTAATCTTAAATTCAAAAGTATGGTTGAAGGCATTTTATAGGGTAAAGGCTAACTGTCAGTTCAGTCCCTGCGGGTTAAATAAGTCTCATAAGGGTTTCAGTTCATCTAAACTAACAATGTGTGGATTTGTAGTTNATAAAATTAATCTTAAATTCAAAAGTATGGTTGAAGGCATTTTATAGGGTAAAGGCTAACTGTCAGTTCAGTCCCTGCGGGTTAAATAAGTCTCATAAAGGTTTCAGTTCATTTAAACTAACAATGTGTGGATTAGTAGTTTAATGGTTAGGCTATCCGCTTTCTGCCGGAGAAGTTGCGGGGGGGGATTCAAATTTCAGATGGGGCATTTGATTTTTTTCTCTAGATTTGTGTCCTAAGAACTAATTGGTATATTTTATTCAGTTAATATTATATTGTTACCATTAAAAAAATTTAAAATTTCAAAAACAAAAAAAATTAAGTATTTAATTTTTTATTCTTTTTTATCAAAATGTATGGATTATTCTTTTTAAAAAGTCATTTAAAATTTTTTGATAAGCTAACTGAATTTTTTTAAATTTTATAATAAATAATTTAATTTTTTATTAAATTCAATTATGAAAATATGAGCAAAAGTATGTTGGACTAGTTAAAAAAAAAGAAAAACTATTTATTACATAATTGGAAAATCATTCGATTAAAAATACAAAATTTATTTCGAATGCATTCTGATTATTTGAAAATCGATGGATTATACTTAAGTTATAAATAGTCCTTTTTATCTTTTTTAAACAAGCCTGATAATATAGTTTTGTTTATATTTTCATAATTAAGTTTAATGAAAGCTTAAAATTATTATAAATTAAAAAAATTTAGTTATTAAAACATATTTATTACAACTTTTTTTTTAAAAAAAAAAAGTAATCCTCATGTTTTAATTAAATATACTAAACATCGATTCATTTTTTTTTTGTTCTTATAAATTCTAAGTTTTTTTAAATAAAAAATTAATTGAAAAATAACTTATAAACTGAATAACTTATAAACTGAATAAAATATACTAAATAGTTATCCACTTGCAAAATATTATTTGATAAAATTCAATCTCCTCAACTGGGATACAAACCCCCGACCTCTCTTGTATAACGTGAACAGACTAGCATTTACACTACGAACCATGATGAGCTGGAAAGATAGTCCCTGGTTTAAGAGTAACTGAAACTATAATGGGGCATATTTTAACCTAGGGGTAGAGCTGGCAGGTAATTTTTACCTTGTCTAAGGTTTTCAACTATGCTCTTTAATTGTTCCACATGATTAGAATAGCGAGGTGCTTTCATTGCTCATAAACGCATTTTTTAAGGCTTGTCAGTTTCTATTGTTGGTTTGAAAAAAGATTTGCGTCAATACACATTAGAACCTTCAGAATTACCAGACGATATCAAAAGTGTGCCCGTGGCTACTCGACCTTTGATAGAAGATAAGAAAGCTTCTTTTAACTAGATTTAAAGAGCATGCATTACGCGTAGGTCTGCGCACCTGGAAAGTCATGAGAAATCATGAAAACTCATGAAGTTCGCTATTGAGCAAAATGTGTCATGAAATGTAACGATTTTGACTTTTTTTAAAAAAAAAATCATGGAAAGTCATGGCTTATGGCCGCCAAAAAATCAAATTTTTGAAATGGAATTTAATTTCATGGTGTTGTGAATATCTGAATTTGTAACAAAATCCCCACTAACAGTCTTATTTTATTAAAATATAAAATGTTTTTATCATGTTCCTTAAAAATTATGGTGTTCATTATAAAAAATGAAAGGAAAAGGATTTCTAGAGCAAATTATCTTTTAAACTTCTGTGATTTCAGAATTTTTGTCATTATTTAATTTCTTAATGTTATCAATTCAAAATTCTAACGGAAGCAAAGCCAGTGATTACCGAATTTTTTTTATTCCGAAATGCGAACAGAAAAATTAAAAGTCTTTCTTTTCTTACGGATGAACAAGAAAAATATCTTTAGAATATAATTATACAGAGAAAAGGAAAAACAAATTATTTACTTTTGTATTTTTTCAACTATTTCATTGCTTCCACTCTTTCTTGACTGTGTTTTTTAAATTTCAAATCTATAAATATGAGGATGCAGAGTATAACAGTTTTGGTTATACCTACCATTTCAATGAATGTTATTATAATGTTTTTTTAAATTTTTTGTTGTGTTTTTTGTCGGAGAAAGTAGTAATGTTAAGTCATGAAAAACTCTTCGAATTAGTCATGGAAGGTCATGAATTTGAAAGTCTAAAATTTTGCAGATATCCTGTGTATGTAAGTATGATTATTTGATATTGTTGATTTGTTATTTTCAGATGTTCCCATCATTGGGAAGTCCAAAGATAAAGTTGCTGCTTCACGTCATGATACATTTGCAGGTGATGTATTTAATCCTTTTCTTTCTTTCTTTATTTATTTCTTTTTTATTTAAACGATTGCACCACAAAGTATAGCACGAGGCTTACAAAAGTAAGTAGAAAACAAAAAAAAATAAAGCCACAGTATAGCAGTGCCTTGAATTTTATACTGCATGTGTAACATTTTTCGGTTAATCTGACATTTGTGCCCTTCTCCTTTATTGAATTATTACTTCCTCTGCAAGCAATGCTGAAAAGTCAGTTAATTTGTTGTTCAATAGCAATTAATATTTATGCATACAGCCTGATGTTTATTTTGACAGCCTACTGTTTTGTAAGAAAATAGCTGTCCAGTTTGTTTACCGGATAAAAATTGTGTTTTTGTAGAACGTCTGGAGTATGCATAGTTTCTAAGCTCAATTTAAAGCATATGTCAGTGAACCGGTATAGCAGCTATCATCTTGATGCATCGGAGCTCTGATTAAGCGGCCAGCACGTAAAGACATGCGCCAGTAGCGATATAAGGGTTTAACTTTTATTTTTTTCTGTTTTTATTGTACTTTTTAACGGAACTTTTCAGGTAACCAATTAGTCTATTGAAAATTTTTTAATGTATATTAATATATGTATGCTATGGTATATATGCTATGGACAATTTGAAACTTGAGAAATAATAAAAAATGACATTTTTGAAATCTCGTTGAAAAGTGGTAATAACTGCTTAAAAGTCATTTAGATTTACGATAACACCAGAAAAAACTCGTGAAAAAGCAATTATTTAAAATCACGTGGAAAAGCGTAGAAATAACTATTTGACAAAATCCTTCATATTAACGATAAAGCTTACAAAGAAAGTGTCGTGAAAAAAATTATTTAAATGCGTGATTCAATTTCAGGATCAATAATATTATCACATTAAAAATTTCAGGATTTATAAAACTACGCTGTTATAATTACCGAATAACCCAGAGATATTCGATGAAATCGACAGAAGTATATCGCGTCAAAAAATGATTAATCAAATATGCGATCTATAACTCACTAGAGAGAAAGTAAAGACCGTATATTAAATTAATAATATTTTTTTATTTGACTTTTTATTTTAGGATGATCATAATTGATACAATGGGTTATGTTGTGAAGATACAATCATGTGATAGCCCTTCCAACCCTATATTGCAAAAATTGAAAAATCAGCTTGTTTATAAAAAATAATCTAGTTAGTTAACTTAGTGAGAGATGTTTTTTTTTTAATTGTTATTATTGTCATATGTCTGTAGAAATACTCTCAATTGTATTTGTCTTCATAAAAATATGTTTTAACTGAAAAAAATATCTTTTCTAAATATTATAAATTTTGTAATAATCTTTTATAAAAATTAAATCGAAAGCACCCTGAAATCCTTCTCATTAAAATTGAATTTTAGCTAAAAACTTCTACGGTTATTAATTAACTTAGTTTATTTCTTAATTATTAGGCATTAGTTAACTCAGTTATTAATCAATATATCTTCTTTAATGAGTTATTAATATATTTCTCCGTTATTAGACATTAGTTGTTTATTGCTCACACTTCTAAATTTTGTTTTTATGTTAAACATAGCAAATGGCATATGTAAAGATGTTTGAATCATTAATTTGGAGCACCCAAGTAAAGTAAAAACCATAAAAAAAGAATTTATCTTTTTTTTTCACAGTGCATTTTAAATTTTAAGTGCAAAATTTCTTAATTTTAAGTGATAATTTTAAGATTTTTTGTAAAATTTTAAGTGCTTTAAGGTCATTTTTAACTTAGACATTTTCTTTTAAAATGCATTCTAAAAATTTAAATTTTAAAGGCACACTTTATTTTGGATAATCTGTAATGGGTGAGATGGAAGACCATAATGGAGGTCCAATATTGCAAGGAGGATTAATGAGATTATATGATTGCACAGATTAAATTATAAGTGATGACTAGCATAAAACATGATTTTAAGTTTACAACATTCTTCTAGATATTATATAATTTCCCCCATTTTGAAATTTTGTGTTAAAATGTTTTGCTCCCAAATTCTTTTCCAGTAAGCAATTTATCAGAATCAACGGCTACAAAAGTTGATGCCCACTGCTACACCAAATTTACGAGCTATGCACACTGCAATCACTTACTCGCCGAGTTCTAAGTCTGACTCTAACTGTGATTCTAATGAAAATAGTGAAAGAATTGTCCATCCTCAAGGAATGAAGCATAAAATACCACATCGTTTCTGTGAGGTTGTGTGCATGAGAAATTCTAAATGTTGCATTTGCTTGGACTCTATGTATTTAGGAAGATCAATTGTTAAATGTCAAGGTAATTTTTTGTTTTATTCTTGTACTTTCTGAGGGACTTTTTTGTCTCGTTACTTTGCTGCTGAGCTTTAGTTTACTTAATTTGCTGTTAGTGCTGCTAAAGAAAAAATTTATCACTTCAAGGATAGAGATAAGACTCAAACCTAGCACATTAGCTTGCTTGAAACATCAAAAACTTCTGAAAAAAATTTGCTTATTTCTTCCAATAATTTTTTTTATGAAAAAAATCTGATGACCTTATGTCTTAAGATATCTTTTTTTTCCAGTCAATTTTTATTCTTATATAAAAAGACACATCTTGAACTTTTTTCTATGTTGTGCTTCATCATTGCGAAAAACGTGCTTATATCTTCCTCAAAGAATGTGTCGGTTAGACAAATTCCTGAACTATGTCTCTCCCTTATCTCTACCAGGAAAAAAAAAATATCAAAACCCAAAGTCTTTTAATTTTGTGGACATCTGTAGGCACTTTTGGCCTGCAATTGGTACACAACTTATGGTAATTTAAGTACCTGGAAGTAATTTCATGCAAAACTGTTTATGCAATTCCAGCTTATTCATCAGAAAAAGTTGGCGGTGTAAAATATCTTTTCTCTCATATCAATGTAACTTATTAAATCATCACTGACAACTGAAGGCCTCTCCTTGCTTCTTTAGTTTTTCGTCAAATGTTTTTAACACACCTTCTGACCATACAATAATTTGACTTAACACTTTCAACATAAATCTCAGTAAATGGACAATGAATTTCATTATTCTTTGCATTCCTAGCATTAAAACAAATTAGATTGCTTGGTACAGTCAGCGAGTTCCACAACCATTATCAGCAATCAATCCAAATAGTTTAAATGGAAAAAGCTATGGATAAGAAAAGCTTATGTATATGTTTTGTCACTATTTCTTGCAAAAAAGAACATCATAGAGCTTTATTTCCAGACATGCATCACACTTTTCAATTCATAATGAAAAACATAAGGTTTTAATTTTTTTCGTGACTGAAATTGTTCTATATTATATAATCATGGTTATAATTTTTGGTAAATGACAGCTATATGAAAAGAGCTTGAAAAATCTTAAAATTTTTAAATGCCATGCTGGGCATATTAGTCTTAAAAGAAACCTTTAGTCTTAAAACATCCTTTTTTGAATGTTCACTACGTATTTGAAAATATTAAGTAATAGCTATAAAAACAACAAAGCTCTTTCACATTTCAAATTTCTGAGTTTCACATTTCAGTAAAAAAGATTAAGCTTACTTTGTTTATTAAATATTTAATTACATAATTCAGTAACATTTATTAGGTCAATCTATTAGTATCTTATTAGGTCAATTTTTTTCTTTCTATTTTGGTGCCACTTATCTGTTCATTATTGTTAAAGTGAGAAGGGGCACTTAAATATTATTTCTAATTAAGGAGTTAAATATCTGGTGATGCATGTAAGATAAAAAATACATGCCCGATCAATTTCTTTCTTTCTTTTTTTTTTACCTGAAATGTAATTTATAGATTAGATAATATAATTTTTAAGTCTTATTCATTACACGATATTAGTTTTTTCCTAATTTATTTTTTTTATTTTTTGTAGAATGTCTGTTAGAATGTCATCCAAAATGTGCTTCATCATCGCCAAAAACCTGAGGATTACCGACAGGTTTCATGCAGCATTTCAAAACTGCTGTAAGCAATTTTCCGTCAGTCGATAAAGTTGAAACAATTCCAAACATATCAGAAGGATGGATAAAAGTGCCAAAGTAAGTGTAAACTTAGTACTATTTACATTTGGTTTTATCACAATGCAGTAGCTCCAAACAAACAATTGTGAATTAATGAATAGTTAAAACTTGGACTATTATACTAAAAGTGAACTACTGTATTAATTTTGCATAGTAATTACAAGACAAATCTACTTTATTTCTGCCAGACCAACTGCCAAATGAATTCCTTAAGTTATTTACTTTAAATTTTTGTTTAAATTTTCATCAAATGTTATGGTTTAGTATACAAGGTCGTAATAAGTTAAACATTGTATATTTTCTGTTAGTTTACAAATTTATTTCTTTAACTGTTATTTTGGTTTTTCATAGTAAAAAGTAATAAAAAGAACTTCTGAATTGTTCTTGAACAATACCTAAGAACACCTGAATAAACATTCGAATTTAAACCAAAATTGGGCATAATTTATCATTTAATTACTTACATTCATTTAATACAATTATTTGTCCTTTTCTTAGAATTAACAAACATGGCTGGGATGGAAGATATATGCGCTTTGAAGATAGTGTTCTTTACATATTTGAAACTGCAGAGGAGAAGGACCCTGATGAAGCTTTACTGGAAATAGACTTTTTATCAGATAAATCATCAATCACAGTATCAAGTTCGGTTTCTGCTACTGAACTTCCTTATGCAGCCAATTCAGATTTACCATTTGTTCTGAAAGTTGAATCATTTCCCCACACTATATGCTTGCCTAAAAGGTAATTTTCAGGTGTTTTCACTTGTTGGAATTTTAAATTCTGAAAGTTTTATAAAAGTTAACATAAATAAAATCTTACTTTATCATTATTTGTTGAAATGTTTCTGAATAATTAGATTAAAAGCAATATATAATTCTCATCAGAATGTTTTCCATAGTATCTGAAATGCAACTTATCAACTGTAATTTGATCAAGGTCACAAAGCTCGAGGAGCATCATGTGAAACGTGACAGAAAGATAAATCTTAGCCTAGAAAGCATTGTTGAAATAGGAAGTAATTGTGTTCCCTAGCATACGTAAAGAATAGCTGTCTGGCTGATTAACGAAGGGGTCGGAGGTTAAAAAATTATGCATTCAATATAGTAATTAAATATAGATTATTAAATATAGTCATTAAAATTTTTAAAAATGAAATTAAGAAAAATTAATAGTTATGAAATAAAAATTTAGACATTGTGTATATATATATATATATATATATATATATTTGCTAAGCTTTGAAGATATTGTTATATAGTTGTACATTTATTTTGTTTGCTTTCAATCCACTTTTTCAATTTATGATAATTTTCCAATTATTAGATTCTTATTAAATTGCACATAAACTTACTTTTACTATAGCAATTATTTATAGAAATTCAAAAGCAGTTTTATTGTTTTTATTATGAATATAATTTTTTTAGATCAATTTACTTAATTACACATATTTATGCATTTTTATTTTTAACGACAATATTTTAAAAATTCTTGAGAAAAATTATCAAATACTCATATGAAGAGGACATGTGGAAAAATTACAGCAATAATGGATGTTTCAAAAACGAAGAAATGGATGCTTCAAAATATTTTTATATGAATTATGGAAAGACATATACAAAATTTGGCATCTATTTCGAGTTGTTTACTTTCAAATAATTAAAAATTAGTTAAGCAATTTAGATTATCTACAAGAACCTTATAACAAATAATTTTATTAATTATTATACTTTTTAATTTTCAAACTTAAAAATTTTTTCCGATACACCGAACTGAAATTCACATTAAAAAATAGTTTCTAGATAAGATAATTTATTTGAAAAAAAATTGAACTTTTCGATTTTTTAAAATGATATAGAAATATTGTACTTAAAATATTATTGTTAAAATAGTTCTTCAACATTTTTTTAATTTTTATGCACAAGTTTACAAACTCTTTTATGGTACAGCACTTGAAGGAATATAATTTACAAATGAAAACTTCATTGAAAGGAATTTAATGCTGGCTAGAGCAAAAAATATTTTTTATACCTTGAGGAGGAATTATAGTTTCTGGGGATAATATTTTTAATGGTTTCAGAGCCTTGTTAAATAATAAGAAAAGTTTCTCTTATTTCATATTGTAAATTGATATAAAATAAGACACACATTTAGGTTGAATAATATTTAGTACTATCACCAAATTAATTTCTCCTTAATGACTGATGTTAATTTTAAATGTTGGTTTCTAAGAAATTTAAAATTTATTTTTCAATCATTTAAGTTATTGAATTATATTAGTTTTTGTTTTGCAACGAAAAAAAAGGATTTTATTTGTGCGAGAATATTATTATCAATTTAAATGCTTAATTTAGATTTTGTATAACTGGATTACATGGAATTACATACTTATGTTTTAATATAAATAATAAATTTAAAAAAAAAAAAAGGTTGCATTTATTAACATTTTATAAATCTCTTCACTTTATCGATATTCTTGCTTCAAATTATGTCTTTCTTCCCTTTGAACTCCTATTTTGGGGATATTTCCACAGGTGAATAAAGAGTTGATCAGTCATTCCAGAGTAAAACTGGTGGTAGGAAATTTTTGCTACTTGTTTTCCTACTTCGGGTGTTTGCGGTATTCTGGGCATGTTGTGGTTTGGAGGGCTCGGTATTTAAAAAGTTAAAGTTATTTCGATTAGTCAAGTAACATGCTTCTAATAATGTTATGTCTATTAAACTTCATTGTTAAATTCTATACAAATTTTATGTGCTGCTCAATTTTTTTGTTAAAATTATTTTTTGCATTCAATTTAGCATGTATTGCTTTAACGTTTCCAATGTTAGTAATTTAATCTAATGTATTATCTCTTTCTTTCTCGCTTTTTTTAAAAATCATTTCCTTGTTCTTATTTTTATTGCTTGTTCATTTTAGGATCTTGTATATCATGACATATAACTTCAATGAAAAGCAAATGTGGGTATCTGTTTTGGAAAAAGCAGCTGAAATAAGCCTTTCAAAAGTAGACAGTAGTCTTAAAGTAAGTTAAGTAAAAAGTACATAACTTTATCCTTTCACCTAAGCTGTTTAACCTATATATAAAGTGTGTTACAGTTTTAAAATTGGAATCACTATTTCAAGCCTGTTTTAAAATCTTTTGTAGAATCCAGTATTTAAATCTTCACTGATCCTGATAGTGTATAGAAATCAGTATATATATGTATATAAACAGATGAACCTCGCTAACCTGAACCTTGATTTCACGAATTTTTTGATATCTCGAAGAGAAAAAAAAATTCCCTTCAAATTTCCTATACACTCAATGTTAAAAAGAACTTGGTTTCAGGATTTTTTTTTTCTAATCCCTCGATAACTTGAATTTTTTTTCCATAAATAGTGTAGATCTTTTTCTAAAATTAAAAAAATATTCAAAAAAAAAAAAAAAAAATTTAAGAATTGCTGACAAGGCATGGAATGATGTGTCTTCCTCTAGGATAATGAATGGCTTCAAGAAGTCTGAACTCATTAAAGATCACAAAAATAGTCAAACAATCAATATCGTTAATTCTAATGAAAACCACACCGAAAATGATAGGAACAGATTGACCGGACTCATGAAGCTTGACGACATGGAATTTCCTGACTTTGTAAACGTAGATAATGCTGTAACAGTGTGTGATCAGTGGGAAGACAATGACATCATCGCACAAAGAAAAGCTTCTTGTGAGGTATCAGAAGAAGAGGATGAGGAAATCTAAGATTTACCGCTCAATGTTAGTAACAAACAAGCACTTTCTGCAGTAGATACTGTGAGGAGATTTATTGAGAGGCAGCCGAATATTATGGTCCACTTAGAAAATGTTATAGACAAACTTTCTTTCACATCTCTAAAACAAACAACAATTGAATTTTTTTTTTTTAAATGAAAGTGTAAAAAGTGTTTTTAAAATAAATATGGAATATTAAATAAGGTATGTAAAGAGCATTTTTCTTTATTCTACCATCGATAGCATGCGATTTTCGATATCTCGAATTTTTTTTCCTCTCCCTTCAAGCTCGAGATCTAGAGGTTTGACTGCGTATATATATATATATATATATATATTTTAATGTTTCATGGTTTTATTAAGACTATTATATTTTGTTATTTTGTTTGTATTTGCTGTATTCAATGAAGCTTAATTATCTAATTAATAGATTGTTGTATTACTTATTTTATCTACATTTAGTGAAATGTCCTTGTGCGATTCTTCTGTATGTTGAGTAACTCATGATTTGTAGTATTTTCACTGCTTCTGTAAAAAATTAGTTAAATTTTTAATATGTTACCATTTCCTAAAACTGTATACCTAGTTCTTTATGTAAATGCTATACTTATTTAATTATTTGATTTACTCACCTATTTAATTTATTTATTAATATTCATTTATTTACTTTTATTGTTTTTCATTTAGTTAGTAAATATTTAAGCTTAACATTAAACAAATTCTATCTTTTTATTTTTTAAGAGATTGGATACAAAAACAATTATAAGTCTCTAAGACAGTAAAGCTATTGATCCTTTATGTGCAAGTATATTTGATGAACAAGTAAGTATAAGACTTGTTGTTAATTTGAACCATTTTTAATTTCTTTTGCAATAATTATAAGTATGTTTTTATTAGGTTATGCTCTTGGATGCGATAGAAGGATTATATGCTCTTTCAGATATGCAAGATGAGTCTCCTTCATCCATTAAAAAAATTGATGGAATAATGCGTGTTTTTCAAATTATGAGTCTAAAAATTATTAATGTTGCACTCCTTATAAATGGTAAATATAATTTTTTAATCAAATTATGCAGCACAGTTAAAATGAATTTTTGTAAATGAAAATTTATAAATATTAACGTTAGAAAGGGAAAAGAGGATGAGAATTGGAAATGCTGTTATTCTGTTAGAATAATTATTTTCGTAAAATACTAGCTCTCTAATGTAAGCTGAGATCAAATGGTAAAAGTCTTTCGATAACTTCGCAAGTTAGTTTTGTCACACCCAGTGTGCATGGTGCTTCCAGTCTTCACTTTCCTTGACTTAGCCAAGGATTGTATGTGCTAAAATTTAGATGTTTGATAAAATTGCTCTTCCTATTATTTCTCTGTGGTTCAGAATTTACTCTAATATACTATTCCTTTGTATTTAAAGGTAGGAAGTTTGAAATGAAGACTGGGTGACCCATCTGCTCTGCTATGTAACAACATATGCCAGTGTTGTCTTTGGATCTCTAAGAATAAATTCCAAACCATTTCAAGTAGCTATTGTAGCTGTGAGTCAAAAATAGTTTATTTTAGTATAAAAAGAGAAAATAGTTAATGTAAAATAATATTTTGTTTAAATACTTTTATTTTAATTTATGTTTATGAAGCAGTCTTAACCAAGTCCTTTAGGTCAAAAAAAAAAATAGCATTAGAAAAATTATCTTTCTTATAATTTATAATTTTTTAAACTTACATAACACTTTTATATTTACTTTCATGTATAATTTTTACTTTTATATAATTTAATTAATAATTATTTCTTCCTCCTAGTTTTTGAACTCTATTTAATTTTTTTTAAATAATACTACAGTCTTATTCTTGGATCAAGAAATCAAAGTATTTAAATATTTTATCTTTAAAAGAAAGTCATTCTGATTAATTCTGCTATTTTTGAAAAGAAACACAATGGATAAGTATCACAAGTGAAATATGAAAAACTGGCAACTTACTATACATACTACCATGCTAAGTTTGTATATCCTTAGACATATAATATAAAACATTTAACAAACAAATATATTGCTGAATTTGATTTGTGTCTTCTTCACATCATTTCACGAGGTTCTTCTTTTTTTTAAATTTTTTTATTTTAATTTTTATTTTTTACTCTTTAATAGTGGGGATAAAAAGTGGCCTATGGAGTTGCATTTTTATTCTTAGATAAATGCCCCCCTAAGAAGTTTCGCTTGAAATAACCACATATAAAAATGTTCTTGCTATACTATGCGTAATATGTCCAATAATATATGGGATGTTAAATCTGACTGAAAAAGATAGTCAGACTCCTCTTCCTAAGAAATTATTGATATGAAATTATTTGGGATTCTTTGTTTGCATAATTTTTTATTTTAAATATTTCATAGTGTCAATATTTTATAAAACTGTTCGTATAACTTCCTGAAATTTTCTGAAAAATGTAAATTAATATATTCAATAGGTGAGGATCGGGAATTGAGTTCAGTTGATCTAGATTGCCTGAAATCACGGGTATTTGTTTCCTCCTATCAGCCCACCACTTTAAAGTCTGTGGCAAATATAAAGAACTACCATTTGTTTGCTGTTCAAGAAAATGCTGTAACAAATGGACCCTTCATTTGTTGTACTACATCTCAAACTGTAATTATTTGTCAGTATGATGTGGTGATGAAATTATTTTGCAATAAAAAGGTAAATAATTATTTTATTTCAAACACAGTAAAATCTCTCTATTGCAGTATATTCTTCTTAGATGGTTTTTAACCTTTCACAAACAATGTACTACTAGCTAAAAGGAGTTTTGGTAAATAAGACACATAATTTTTTTACCGCTGAAGAACAAACAAACAAACATTTTAATATGACTTTGAAACGTTAGAATTATTACTTTAATATCAGTATTATAAAATTGTGTTGAGGAATACCTTCTTACAAGTTTTGTTTTTTAAAATACAGTCGAACCTCTATTTAACAAAGTCACTAAATCATGATAAATAGTTCCTTATATGGAAAATTCGTTAAATAGAAAATCACCATTTGAAATACTTGAACAACATAACACAAATTTTAAATTCATAAACACTTGGCATAATTAAATTAGAAATTGATACATCTTTATCTTGTAAATTATTATCTACTATTGAATTGTTTAAAATAATTTTAACATTTCATCATATGAAGGATTAGTGATTTCTTCATCATGTCTGTCTTCATCTTCTTCGTCTTCCTCACAATTTATTGCTGTTTTGTTTTTATTTTTCACACTGTCCAAAACATCCAATTCAGTTAATGTTTCTGTGGTTCTCTAAAAGTTAGGTGGCAGATGCAGCACTTTGATTACTTAGTTGCTGCAATGTAAATTTTTTACAGNTTGTTTCTCGATCGCCTTTTCAATGGTTATCTTTCAATGGCTACGAAATTCAACATGCTTTTTTTAAAAAAAAAAATTTGAAACTATATTACGATGCGTGAATTTCGAATTTGACTGATCATTATATATGTATATATGTATGTATATATATATGAATATATATATATGTGTGTGTGCGTGTGTATATTTATTTCCTAGATCAATTATTGATAAAATTGAAAATAGTGCTGGAGCATAACGTTTATTTAAAAATTATCATATTTGCTACCAACTTGACTAAATAAATCATGGTATATGACAATTAGGTCATTAACAAAATTTTAGTCATATTTTTGATGAATTTTTGTTCTTATTTAGGCAACTATTTTCATAGTTTTTGGCTACTTCATACTTCAGACTGCTAAAAGCAACTATTTTGTTCATTTTTTCTGTGGAAATCCTGGTATGGCAAGAGCTTTGGAACGAAGGATCATAAACTTATCAACCTGTGTGCATACAAGATGATTCAACCAAGCAAGCTACCATGTCAGACGACAATTCTGTCTTCACTGTTTCATCTGGTAAGTAAAATTTTTGCTAATAATAAGTGTAATACTTTTAACTTATTGTATTGATCTATATATAATTAAAGCATTTTAATTTTAGAGGAAAACATTTATAAATAAGAATTTTTCAAAGTACTTTTTTTTTTCAAGAAATAAAAGTATTTTTTCTTCATTAAGAAGGATATATATTGTCCTAAATTCTTATGAATCAAGAAATTGTGCAAAGCTATTTTAATTGACAATCACATTTCTTTTATTTATGTTTCTCAATGGTCCAAAGAAATCAGTTATCAGTTTTATTGCTAATTCAATGGGATATATATTTCTTTAATATTTTACAAAATTAGATACATTTAAGATACAATTTAGTTTTTCTTACATTGCAAATAGTTAATTCATTATTAACTTTGAAAAAAAATTCAATTAACTGTACATATAAATTACTGAAATCTCAATTTTTTAGTTTTCTTTATTTGAGAGTGGTTATGGTTTAATAGCCCTTAAATTCTTATTATAATTCCCAATATTAGTGACTTCGAAAATAACACCTAAAGGTGGAGAGATTTGCCTGAAATATATTTTTTATATGCAAAAGTTTATTCAGGTATCAAGTGATGTTTTTAAAGAATTGATCATACAAATCTGTTTCGTAATGTGAATAATACACAATTCTTTATTTAATCCATATTCAGTTGTGAATTGTTGATACCTTTCTGAATAATAAATGTCCAATGTGTTAAATTAGCTGTAATTTTTTTTTTATTTCTACATCTCGAATACTAATACATTAATAGAAAAATAGCTTAATATAAGTATGATTTTCAAAGGGGTGTAAATTATATACTAGCATTAATGTTTTAATATTTCTGTATACTAAGTTTGAACAAGATCATGAAGTTTGTACCCCAACGGAACAAAACTGCTCTTAGGGGGGGGGACTTTTTTTCTCATTTAAAATTGTATGTTTAAATTAATGATTAACTCTAAGCAAGGACTTATATGTTTTACTATGTAAATAACATTAATAATTTTTTATATTTAGTATTATCATATAATAACTAAATGCTGAACTTAAG